ACCGCATCCTCTACGACATTCTCATCGACAGTTTCATTTTCCTTTGCTGTAGTAACGTGTGACTTCACGACATCTGTGGTTTCTTCCAGGTCATCGTGTGCCCCCACGAAGATTGTGGTTCTTTTCAGTTCATGTGTACCGTAATCGAGACGTTCCTCCCCTTCAGACTCCTTGCTTTTTTCCGCACTATCGTCGCTTTTCAGGGATTTCTCGCGTTTAGTGTCGAGGTAGGTTGTATAATCTGAAATTTGAAAATCGAAAGATGGAACATTGAGAGTATAATGAGAATCTGATAGGGCTAGGTCATATTGATCTTGAAAATAGCTTAGTTTGGTTTGTGAGGAGGGTGAAAAGCGTAGATACCGTAATAGTTACTTTTCTCAAGTATGTCATCCTCCTTCTCCTCGTTTTTCTTGTCCTTGAACTTGTAGTCGTCATTTGTTGTATATGCTGAAGTCATACAGGTTGAAAAATATTAGATTGACACAAAACTTCTTGCAATTCAAACGAAATCTATAGCTATCAATCTTAGCTTGATAGCTGAAAAAAGAAAGAGACTGAAATCTCTCTACCTAAGCCAAGAACAGATAGTCGAACATGAACCTTGAAATCTATAGCTTTCCAAATCCTAAACCTATTGTACTATCACTTTGTCCCTTTAAGTAGAATGTCTGCGATCATGGTAGACGTCCAAAACTCTCTATGAGCTAGTCACCAAGAAAGAAGTTTTCAAAAAAGCCTTTTTATATTTCTTGATAGGTTTGGTGTCGAAAAAGTTCGCATTGCAGTAGTGTTTGCGATACTGTGGCAGTTAATCTCGCTTGGAAATGCAAAACAAAAGTTGAAAAAACACTTTTTCACAAAAAAACATTGCTAGAATCCCAAAAAAAAAAGTCACAGTGTAAAAAGTAAGCATCAAATCCCTGGCAAACGGTGTTTTTGTGAGAAAACTGCAGTATTTGAGGAGTCTCCCCGTCAAATGATATTTTTGACAAATTTTTACTCTTACATTTCCATTATCATAGAATATCACGCAAGCGGACGAATATTGGGGCATGATGACTGTGGGAAGATCGGTATAAGGCTAAATATGACAATGTTCATGAGAACCCGATGCATTCTTGATACTTTCTTCACACAGAATGGAAAGACTATTACAAAATGCTC